TATGTTTTGGCTTTCCAGAAAACCCCGAAAAGTTTCTCTATAATCTATCAACAACGAAGTTAAATCAGATAGAAACAGAAGCCTTGTCACTTGGATTTAAATTTCATATCCCCAAAACACATGCCGACAGAATCGACACAGAAACTCAATTTGAGAATTTATTTAATCAAACTAAAGAGCTGCACCCAGTTAGTGAAGAAAAGAAAGGCTGGCCTAAATCGAAACTAGTCGATATTGCAAACCAATATCTTGTTTCACCCACACCACAGTCCAAGCTTCTATCGAAAGACCACCAAATAGCATTACGAAATATTAAACGAAATGACGATATAATGATATTACGGTCAGACAAAGGCTCAAGTGTTGTTCTAATGGACAAAACAGATTATGTCTCTAAGATGAAGTCCATCTTGAACGACCATATGAGATTCAAGTTAGAAAAAAGTAACAAAGACTTAACTGATTCCATTGAGAAAAGAATCACCAAAGTACTCAGAGATCTTCTGAAAAAGAAGATGATCGATAACAATACTTACAATAATCTACGACCTCGTGGGTCTCGTTTGCCCCACATGTATGGATTACCGAAAATACATAAACAAGGTTATCCTCTTAGACCTATTTTGTCAATGATCAATTCACCATACCACAAAGTTGCACGATGGTTGGCAGATAAGTTAGAACCAGTGCGTCAACGATTAGCCACCTATACACTAAAGGATTCATTTGTATTTGCTGACAGCATGAATCACATAAATATTGCTGGTAAGTTTATGGTTTCTTTTGATGTAACATCTTTGTTTACAAAAATACCACTTCTTGAAACCATAGACATAATTTGTCAACATTCTGACATCCTACCTCTACCAGTACCAGAATTCAAACGACTATTACTAATTTGTACAAAAGATGTTCAGTTCCAGTTCAACGATATCAAATACAAACAAACCGACGGTGTAGCGATGGGAAGTCCGTTAGGTCCTGTCCTAGCAGATATTTTCATGGCTAACCTCGAAAAAACCAAACTCAAACGAGCGATTGATGAAATGACGTATTATTCGAGGTATGTTGATGATACCTTCATCGTATGTAATAATAAACAACATGCAATAAATCTGCTAGAGTTTTTCAACAAAGCACATCCGAATATCCATTTCACTATGGAACATGAAAAAGAAAACAAGTTCCATTTTCTCGATATCGCGATGAAAAGAAGAAAAAATGGTACGATTCAACGTTCAGTTTATAAGAAAGACACATGGAATGGTAGTTATCTTAATTTCAATAGCTTTTGTCCAATTAGTTACAAAAAAGCACTGGTCAAAACACTGTTTCACAGAACAGAAAGAATTTGTACTTCCGATACACTAGAAGAGGAAGTTATGAATGTTAAAAAATGTTTAAAGAATAACGGATACCCACTGAAATTTATTGAAAAATACGGCAAATGTGAAGATAAAAAACCGAAAGAAATTACAGCAAATAAAAAGCCTATTTTTATTCAACTTCAATTCAAGGGTGACGACATCACAGGATTAATCAATATGAGACTAAAAACTGCACTGACGAGAACTTATCCTGCAGCAAAATTGATTGTCCTGTCTAAAACAACATGTTCTTTGACACAATCAAAGGTCGACAGGTATCCCTTTCATGTTACCACCAATTGTGTATACAAATTTACATGTACCTGCCAAAGCAGTTACATTGGTAGAACAGAAAGGAGAGCCTACGTCCGATTCAAAGAACATATTCCGAAAAGTTTACGGTTAAATGGATTAAACGCATTCAACAGTGCTATCGCAAGACATCTCCTTGATACAGGACATGAAGTTGATATACTGAAGTCCTTCAAGGTGATCAACAAACAATCAAACTCTAACCTTTTGAAATTCGCTGAAGCGATAGCAATCAAACGTTTAAAACCAGATCTATGTATACAAAAAGAGACAGTAATAAATCTTTCTTTACCCTGGTAACAATAATCCCCACCCTTTCTATTCATTTATTCCTATTTATTTATTTATTACGTCATTCCCCATCTTCCAACTATTTCTGAAGTTTAAATTACATCATACATAAATGATTGGTTTTAATTCATATTTTCTTTATTACTATTAATCTATTTTCATGAGTTCTAATCACTATTTCAATGTTCCAGAACTTTCCCTCTCTCTAACTTTATTTATTTATTCGAATCAAACATTTTATGAGCTCATTAACTCTATCTGAATATTTTCTACATCATCATACACATGTATTGATCCTTATTCACACTCTTATGTATAAATATGTCAATATCTGTAATAATGTTGAATTTCAAATAAATTAGGATGTAAGCAGCTGATGAGAACCTAACGAAATAAAATGAATTCATATTATTCTGCACCAATCTTTGTTCTTGCTCTATTTAAGATAATAAAGGGAACTATGTGTATGAAATCGAAGTTTTCTTTGGCAGCCCTACACATGGGGCTAATATCAATTGCACAATAGTATGTTGGTCGGATGTGTTGGGTGCAAATCAAATCTTATCCATCCTCAACACACAGATGAAGTCAACTGTCACTTACTGACTTACTCACGCACGCACTCACTCAATCACTCATTCACTCGCTTGCTCGCACGTTTCATTGAGTCTGTTCAACGATGGGTTTGGTGTGAACGAGGCTTGTTGACATTTCTTGTCTACTGATAAGTCGTGATTGTGAGTAGTGTATGAAGTGCAGTGATTATCGTTGAGATTGGTGTTAGCATCTGGTGTATTGTGGTTTCTCAGTGGTTGTCTGTAGGCGTGTATGCATGTAGTAGTGTAAAATGTAGTAGTGAGTAGCGATTAGTGTTGTGTTTGCTGTTGTCGAGTGGTGGTTGTGTTGACAGAGATGGTTAATTTGCAAATGGATGAGTGGGAGTTAGGTGTTGTTTGATAGTAGGGTTGGTGGACTGTGAGTGGTTCGGGTTAACCGTCACGGTTTTACTCTTGTGATTTGTTGCATGGTAAGAACCGTCGACCAAGAATCGAAGTTTTCTTTGGCAGCCCTACACATGGGGCTAATATCAATTGCACAATAGTATGTTGGTCGGATGTGTTGGGTGCAAATCAAATCTTATCCATCCTCAACACACAGATGAAGTCAACTGTCACTTACTGACTTACTCACGCACGCACTCACTCACTCAATCACTCATTCACTCGCTTGCTCGCACGTTTCATTGAGTCTGTTCAACGATGGGTTTGGTGTGAACGAGGCTTGTTGACATTTCTTGTCTACTGATAAGTCGTGATTGTGAGTAGTGTATGAAGTGCAGTGATTATCGTTGAGATTGGTGTTAGCATCTGGTGTATTGTGGTTTCTCAGTGGTTGTCTGTAGGCGTGTATGCATGTAGTAGTGTAAAATGTAGTAGTGAGTAGCGATTAGTGTTGTGTTTGCTGTTGTCGAGTGGTGGTTGTGTTGACAGAGATGGTTAATTTGCAAATGGATGAGTGGGAGTTAGGTGTTGTTTGATAGTAGGGTTGGTGGACTGTGAGTGGTTCGGGTTAACCGTCACGGTTTTACTCTTGTGATTTGTTGCATGGTAAGAACCGTCGACCAAGAATCGAAGTTTTCTTTGGCAGCCCTACACATGGGGCTAATATCAATTGCACAATAGTATTTTTATCGAAATTACCTCACTTAATCATCTTTTGGAAGGGCATACTAGAATCACTGCGCCTAGCTTTCATATTGTAAAATGCCAATAACCTCTTGTATGCAAATTGTAGGACTATAATATTGATTTCTTAATTGATAAAAGTATAAATGCCTGATAATTTTGTTCCATAATTGACACTGCTTTTTCTAGCATTCCTTTCACTTTTCTTCTCATTTGTACCTTGGAGGGTTCTAGAATTCTCAAGTTTTATCCGGTATATTAAGGATCTAAGCTATAGATTTAGCATGGTCTGACTGGTTTTACTTTGCATTGGTTAACACAATCTACATGTAGTGGCTGAATACACACACATATGGATTGACTCTTATTTCGTCAAATAATAAAAAACACAATATGTAGTTAATGGGTCATTCTCGTCCTTGTATTAATTCTGTATGTTGAGATCCAGAAAATTGCTCGGAAACAGCCAACAAAATGGCTCAGAAAATACCGAGAAACCCTTTATCCTATAAGTATTCAACTGAAGTTTTGCCAGAAATACCTAGAAAGTGAGTCACATGTCGAATTTCTGATTGGATTACCTATATTGCTACTATGTTTAGCAACATTCCAGAATTTCCCGTAGGCCTAAAGCCATCTAAAATGTGATTAATACCTCAGACTTTCTGTATATTAACGAACCTTAGAGTAAAGCTTTTTTCCATAACTCGCGCCTTTTCTCTCGTGTTCATGATGCTGTGTATATTTAGCCTGAGGGTTACTAGAAGAGCTTGGGGAAACGGATCTAGCGTTTATTTAGATTATTATTAGTTGTAATCCCTCATACATTTTTTCACTATCTCAGTAAATCAAAGCTCTTAGCCTCATCATGAGATCTACTATCTACACCGTAGAATGGGATTGCTCACTCAGTAATTCTATCAGCTTCAAAGACATCAGCCAGTGAAAAAACATAATTCAGGTATGTGACTTATCATTATCGATCAACTTCCTTGCCGGTAAAGTAATGAACAGCACGTCACGCAGTACCGTTTTTGGGGTTACAGACATGCTTCGTAAATAATCAAAAGTCATGATGCGAATAACTCGTTACTGGCGTAATGATAACTTTTGACTGAAAATTGATGCAGTAAAATAATAAATTAACAGATTTTGATACGGTTTGGAAACATTAGTGTAGACTGTTAAGAAGTCCTGAAAAGTGAAACAAAACAGCTGTTCAGTGCTCCTTGATTATCAATATTTCTACAGTCAGTGTTAGTTTGTTTCTACATTCCCCTTTGAATAAATTATATTGCGATTTCAAAAATATATACAGGGTCTACATAGTGAAGAAAAGAAAGGCTGGCTTAAATCTAAATTTTTATTGACTGAAATCAGTATGTAGCTCACAAGTGAAATAAACATAAGTAGATTTTTAAAACAAATGAACACTTATATTGTACATTCTCGTCGCAATTCACAACTTGCAGGAAACTTTTTTAAATTATTGATGTAATAAGTTTATCAGTTCAGGTTTCGAACCAAGTGTAATTTGCTTGTTCATAGGACATTCTGAAATTTCGTAACAAAAATGCAATTAACAGAAAACAGAAAAATACTGGGGGAAAGATTGTTTTATTTGTTGGCTAAAGTTTGAGAATGCTATGTAATTGTCCTATATTTCGAGTTTCTACAATGCATTAGAGGTAGAATAAATTATTCCATGCTTTCTGGTTTCCGGAATATTGAACTGAAAGTCATCCTCAAAAAATCATTAGAATTTAACCTTGGTTATATAGGACGTGAGTATCTAAACTATTTTCACTATTTATTGTAGTCCTATTTAACCTGTTGTGTCAGTTATTATGCTAAGCCCATATACCTTATTCTAGCTTTCGGACATCCAATTCCATTCATTCTACTTGAGCCATACTTTGACCTTGTTATTTATTCGCTTATCAGTCTTCACTGTTTTTATATGAGCGTATATGTGTGTGCGCGTCATATCCCATGTCTCATTGCATGTCTGTAACTTTATTTTGTCTGACTATAAATATTGAGTAACGCTTGACTAAAATTGAGTTGGCTTCCCAGCCATCCTCCCTGCGTGTCATTCTGCTTGGCTGTTTCATTCGCTTCATATACAAAATATATGTATTCACAAATCAATTCTCGTTATTCGACTTATTTAATTCCGTTATTGGCTAACGCGATTAAGTCGACGATTATATACGAGAATAGGCGATAACAAACAACCATTCGTACGATCTAAATAGGAGTCAGATCCACGGGCCACTAAAATGGTAACCCCGACGTGAGAACAGGAAATGATGGGCCACCCAAAAACCCTATGTAGTCTCACAAAGACTAACCAATCGACGCACGGCGTTCACCGATTACTACAGTTAGGTGACTGACAGAATCCAGTGTAATATAATGACTGATCTGCGTACACAAATTGATGGACACCAATTCAATCAAAAACCTAGATAACTAGGTCCCTAGAACTTTAAACAAGCTTATCAAAGCAGTACAAATATTGAAACAAGATCAGGGGTGGATGGAATCTAACAGATCATTGCCCCTTGATTCTGTGGCAGACCGAAACGGTGCAAACCAAAAGTCCAACTGTGTTCTGCTGTATCAACTCCCTGGAACCCAAGCGTACTACTTACCGAGAATAATTTCAAGAACATTGCGATATTTGGTTATTTCAGCTGATCACTCACCTAAATTTCTTATATAATTCTCGGAAAAGATCAAGGAGATTCAAATCAACAACAGTGAAATTATGATATCCTTCAACGTTGCAGTCTTATTAGACTCGGCTGAACCAAAATTAGCAGAGGACACCTTAACCCTGCTCCTCAACAGTGATGCAAAACTTTCAAAGTACACGGAGCTTCAAAGTCAAAGCTCACTAGTACTCACTGATTTATGCTTAATAACGTACTTTCAGTTCTACAATAAAATCTACGAGCAAGCAAAAAGTAAACCAATGGGACTACACAGAACATATTATCAACTACAGTAGCAAAGATCCAAAAAACCAACTGAGCACAAACTTCGTTCAGAGGATCAGAAGCACACTACAACACAGAATAGAATGGAAATAAATATTTAGTGACTATTTTATAAGAGCGGTTATCTAAGCAAGTTCGCTGAAAAATATCAAACTCATTACCAAAGCCGAAATCAAACGCGGAAACCAACAAACGGATCATCCTACCATAAGTAAAAAACATATCAGAGGTTACAAGATTATTGAGAATGTTTGAATTACATTTGACACATAAACAAAAACATCCTTTCTATCAATTTTACAAAAACCAAAAGACGAAATGACACGAAGAAAATCCTAACATTATCTACAAAACAAACTTTTTCAATTGAAACATTACATGCGAAAAAGTGGGCATCCTCTTCATCTTCGTCTTCATAAACACCAACGGGATGTCAAGGGTCATGAGGTATTTTCACTTATATCAATGAACGTGGGCACAAGTTCGACTGGTCTATCTGAATTGATAATTTTAGACAAGACTGCTTAGATCATCTTTATATCCGTACTACAACTCATAATCGTTGAAGACAATATGTGCGTAATCCCAGGTTCTAGTGAACAAAACCTGAGCAGTGGATGTATTTTAAAGGTGTCAATTTTTGTAGCTCGGGCACATTTCGCCGATTACTACCTGTGAATATGAGTTAATGAGAGACGGAAGGTAGGTAGCCACTCTAATATGGCACCATGAGCATAGGATGACTGTATTATACCAATGCTTGGTAGTTTATCAAGATCCTATGAATCGGACGATGAAGATGATGGAACTTAGAAACTCGATATGCTGTTGAAGACTAGCTTAGAAGTAAAGGCTGGTGATCCTGTTGTTTTATTTTATCCTCTAAATAGATTATGAAATATATTTTTTGGTAGGAACCTTATCTCAGTATGAAGAAGGGAATTACCATTCTTCGTAAAATGAGAATTTCTGACAAGTTTGATTCAAGCAAAAAGATATAATTAGTTTAAAAATCAAAATACTGTATATCAGATATCCATGTCCAATTATATATATATATATATATATATATGTACTTACGCCTGTTACCCCTTGTGCACGAGCATAGGCCGTAAACAATCATTCTCCAGTCAACTCTGTCCAGAGCAATCCTTTCCAGTTGCTATTTATCCTTCTCATGTCTGTTTGCGATTCCCGACACAGTGTTCTTTGGTCTTCCTCTTTTCCGATCCCAAGTTAGCGCTTGCCTGATGATGCAGCTTGATGATTTCCTCAATGTACATCCTATACATCTTCGGCGTATTTTCTTAATTTCCTCTTCAGCTGGAAGTTGGTTTGTTCTCTTCCACAGTAGGCTGTTGCTGATGATATCCAGCCAACGGACACTGAGTATCCTGCGTCGACAATTGTTTATGAATACTTTTATATTTTTGATTATGGTTGTGGTAGTTCTCTAAGTTTCAGCTCCGTACAACAGAACTGTCTGGACATTCATATTGAAGATTCTCACTTTGATGCTACCTGACAGTTGTTTTGAATTCCAAGTGTTCTTGAACTTTAGGAATGCAACTCTTGCTTTGTCAATTCTCGCCTTTGCATCTGCATCAGATCCTCCGCGTTCATCGACAATGCTGCCCAGATACGTGAACGATTCCATTTCTTCCGGAGTTTCCCCACCAGGTGGGACTGGGTTGGTATTCTGTGTTGTATTTGAGGATCTTGCTTTCTACCTTGTGTATGGTGAGCCCTCCTGATACAGAGGCTTCTGCCACACTAGTTGTCGTGACCTGCATTTGTTCGTGTGAATGGGATAGAAAAGCAAAGTCATCTGCGAAGTCCAAATCGTCTGGTTGCATCCAAGCTATTCATTGTATTCCTGTTGTTGACATTTATCTTGAATTCGTTGAGTTCGTTGTATTGAACCTATGTAATGCTGTTCCCCCAGTTGTCCAGTATTTCTTTAACCTGTTTCATGTTTGCCACCACCAGGTGTTGATCCGAAGCTATGTCAGCTCCTCTCCTGGTTCTCATATCTTCCAATGTCCTTCGGAATTTTTATTGATACAAATATTATCTATCTGGTTCTCAGCGGTGTGGTCCGGTGAGATCCATGTAGCTTTGTGTATATGTTTGTGGGAATATTGTGCCGCCTATAATCAATTTGTTGAATGCACATAGATTTGCAAATCTTCCCCCATTTTCGTTTCTCTCTCCCAGTCCATGCCGTCCCATGATATTTTTATATCCGGTGTTGTCTATCCCGACTTTGGTGTTTAGATCTCTCATCACAATGGTGAGGTCCTTTCTTGGGAACTTCGCTATGATTGATTGCAGCCTCTCATAGAATTGATCTTTATTGTCGTCATTGCTATCATTGTTGAGTACATAACATTGGATAACATTCATTGTGATACCTTCCTTCTTTGTTTTGAATGGTGCTTTTGTGATTGTGGATCCATGAGATTCCCACCCAATAAGTGCATTTCGTGCATCTTTGAACAGCATCACAGCGACTCCCTGAGTGTGCATAGTATTTTTCTCTTTGTGACCAGAGTACAACAGCATCTATGCCGTACCTAACCTTTGATGTCCAGCTTGAGTCCGAAAGATTTCACTTATTCCGAGCACCGCCAAGCTGTATCACCTCATTTCTGTTGCTATTTGACTGGTCTTCTCGGTCTCTCACATTGTCCGGACGTTCCATGTACCTTTAAAAATTGTTGCTTTGGTTGTTATAGTGGGCATCGGCCTCGTGAGTTCTGAATAATCTCGGCTTTCATTGAGAGACGTTATAATTCTTCCTTAAACTCCCAGGGCAGAGTTTAAATGGTTTTGATTTGTTTAATCTGGTTAGCGCTTTTTAGCGAGGTTGTTTTCTACGAGATGGGGTTGCCGACCCCACGCCAAAACCTCCTACTTTACCCGAGCTTGGGACCGGCATTAAATATATATATATATATATATATATATATATATATATATATATATATATATATATATATATATATATATATATATATATACATAAACTAATAGTGTAAACTTAACTTACTTGATAATTCGAGATTAAAACTCTTATACTGGTTCCAATTTTCTAAAAATTGTCTATTTGGTTCAGATATCGCCTTATTATCCAGAATTTCTATACGAAAACAATATAAAATTAGGGAACAAAACGTGATTTTGTTTGAGTACAATAACCAAAGTAAAAAGTATCCAAGTCATATTTCCTACATGATATTGTAAATTTATTTATGTTAAAGCCTGTAACAGGGGTTCGGTCGTATAAGTCGCCTCTTCACTATCTAACCATATATTTTCTCTTATTTATTTTAATGACTCTGGTTTTTATCAATTAATAAATGGGACAACTTAAACGGACCGACTTACGTAAAGTTCCGTTTTGTCTTATCTCTATTAAATAAAATGAATTCTCAAACATATATATACGGACGAGACAGTGCAAATATATCGACAAATGAGTTTTACTTTAACAAATTATAAACATCGGTTTCAGCTATTGATGAAAGCGTAGAACATCAATTTGGTCTTCGTATGCACACGGAAATGACTCCTAGTGTGGTGTGAGCTACTTATATTAATATGAGTAGTATATAACGTGCATTAAAAGAACGTAATGTCTGGCAGCGGAAGATGGCGAAGATCAAGAAAGGTAGAGCGAGAACACAATAGAATTTGTAAGAAAACGCATGAACAATGGAATGGGAGACAATGGATTGGTGTTTGCAACAGAAACAGTCCAGTTTGGTTTGATGCATGAATATTTTGCAAATTGACGATTTACTATATAGTATTCAGATTTTTTTGAGATAGACTGTAATTGTTGTGCTAAATACATCCGTTTGTCCCCACCCGTGTTCTTGTTCACTACACTAGGTTTGCAGGTATCTGATGTGAACAGAGAAATCAAGAAGCTAGGACAAACTACGGAAGCCCTTTTTGGGACGTTATTCCATTTAATCCAAAGCTCATAAAACACTAACACTTATTTTTGTTACTATTATTTTCTACAGATCACAAGTTTTCGTTTGATTTGTGATTCATCGTCATAACCTTTCTTGTTCCAAAGCTATTGTAATTTAAACGAAAACTTTAGTACTATATTTTTCTAGCCAATTGCCTAGTTTTGGACATAATTGTATTTTCTAGTTGTTGTGCCTTGTGATCTTGTTAGTCATCTATTTATTCGTGTATCTTTTTACACTAATCTAAGTCGGAACCAGATCGGAGTGTGAATCGGAATTAGGAATAAATCAAGTAGTGTTCCAGTTAACTTTTCCTCTCACTCATGCGCGCTTGTTAGCCAATCAGGTGAGAAAATAGTTTTCGTCTCTCTACCCAAGGCAGTTAGTCTCACTTCGACCTCACGCGTTTCTAGCCTCAAGGTTGAACCAATCAGCCTACAATGTCAAAGTCTTAATCTAGATTTAAACAAGTTATTTCCGGTATACTATTAGGTAGACAGATCAAGGACGTAATAGTATCAATGCCAAGGCTAGACTTTTTCGAATAAGCTGAGTGAGGGGTAAGAAATTAATAAGTTTTCTTGTTATATCCCGATGAGTAGAAAATTGTATTTCTGACGTTTCGTGACTTAACCCAATCAACTTCTTCAGTGTAAGAAGAATTTAGTTTTCATTAGTTAATCGAGCAATAATGATACCTCATGGAGGCCGGATGAAGCTACTGCCTCTTCCAAATCCGGGTAATGAAAAAGGGTTAGGAGTAGGGGTTCGCAACTCCACTTAGTATAAATGAACCTCATTACAACTAGCTAGCCAAAAAATGATTTATGGTGTTCACAGTGAAATCCGAGATGCTTTGATGCCTCGAGGTCAATGACCTTTTAATAACCAGAGCAACAACTATTATATATAAATGAAGCATCTGGACAATGTAGGAGACCAGGAGGGTCATTCAAATAGCTGTAGAAAAGAGGACATACAATCTAGCCTAGTTTGGAATAAGTCAAACCCATTGAACATCAGCTGAGAAGAAAAGACTATATTCACAAGATGCAGTTATCTTTTAGTCATGAAAGAGAACATCCTTAATACACACAAAAGATTGCACTAGTGCCCTTCAAAGAAGAAAACAAGCAATTTTAGGATGCGAAATACACGGCTCCAGGACCATTGAGGCATTCATAAAAACAAAAGACGAAAGGGTCACAATGAGTTATTCAATGCTATGTACCCACCAATGATGGCAGTGAAGATGACAGAAACCAGTTTAACGAGGGCTGTAGTCCATCTCAGAGGAACTTTGTAGTGTCGTTTACTATGTTAAGCCCACATAGCTTATTCTAGCTTCTGGACAGGCCAATTTATTCATTCTTCTTGAGTCACGTTTTGACCTTGTTAATTATTCGCTTATCAAGCCTGGCTGTTTTTATATAAGCATTTGTGTGTACACTTCTTATCCTACTCATCACATATATGTAGCCTATTTTTGTGTGACCAGATATATTGATTAACTCTTGATTAAATGGAGTTGGCTTACATGCTCTATTCTATTCGCTTCGTTCCCCTGATTGTCTGTCCAGATCAATGATTGCACAAAATATATGTATTCAAGATCCATTCTCATATTTGACTCATTTAATTCCATTAAACACTAATGCAATTTAAGTCGATGATTATATATGAGGATAGGTGGCATATATATTTCAATAGCAATCATTCATAAGATCTAATTGGAGTCAGATCTCGAGCCACTAAAGTGGTGAGCCCGCGGCCACCGACGAACCTAAAGCAGCAAGCTACATCGATGAAGAAACTTCTGCACTCTACACTTTCGACGAACAAAGTCGGCGAATGCAGTCCGATCTTCAATGGGACGCACACAGCAAACCCTGTGCAGCTCGACATGGACATGCTCAAATCGTATTATCTTATCGATACTTTGTCCTCATGTCAACTTTGCTGATTGATCCATCCAGCGGATTGTTCCATTATGATTCAAATAATTATCAGTCTCATTATCACATTAGTTTCATATTATCGCCTAACGTAGAGTTATTATTTTTGTTCGTGCTGACATTAAATCATGACATTCACGCAATCATATCACTCACCGAACAAATTATAAGTTTATGAACACTCCACTTTATGACATTTAAAACTCACTGGACTACTTTTATTATTCAATAACGTGAAATTTTGCTGCTTTAAGTGAGTTCGTCCCATTTTTTCCCCATGTCATATTTGGCCTATTATTACATTCATTCATTTTTTATGTTATCATACCACACATTTTTCATTTCGATATTGCCTCCTATTATGTCTGTGAATACCTCTAACTCTACTAGCTGATTAGTAACGATTATGTTCATCTTATCTATTCGTTCACATGTATAACTGCATGATGTATTATTCATTACCCACAAATACTACAAGATTATTGCAATTAACATTTTATTCCTATCGTACTGTATACCAGAAAATCGAGTTTAGGGCTAATTTCTCAAAGATACACTCTTGTTCGTCACAACCAAGTCAGTTTCTCTCGACGTCCTCGATAATCATATGCACTGATATTGGTGTCATGCCTTAGTACCGTTTTGTAACAAACGAGAGAGAGTGCATCTCCCACAAACCACTCGAGGCTCCACGACCGAAAGGAATACGACTCCACGTATCTCGCCTCTGCAGTCACCATTCTGTTCCTGTGGTCATTCTACTAATACATAATAAGTAAGTCAGTCAGCAACAACGGAGAACTTCGTACGTACGTACATCAGTTCGAGTTGCCATACCACATCAGCACACAGATACAATTGTCGATTCAAATCCCATAGTCGTAGAGGTAGTAAAAGTATAGGCAGTAATCGGGAAGATTAGGGTTTGAAGATATCATTCAAGGAGTATAATCTAGTGAAGAAAATTTGGAAAGAGGAAAAACAAGGGACATGAGGAATTCAGAAGATTAGAATTTGGGAGAACACAAAGAGTTGATGCACTTGCGCCATTGCAAACGATTTTGAGCTATATCATTCAAGGTCTCTAATCATCGGTTGCTATCATCTCGCAGTCCCCAATCAGGTAATCTACACCTACCAACGTGGCTCAGTCCACTTGTCAGTGACTTGATGAACTTGTGCCATGTTTTGGTCTGGCCGCCCCTAGCTTTCTTCCAACATACTCCTATACCATTGAACATCGCACGTCGAGGCAGTCGGTGGTTTGGCATACGTAACACTTGTTTCAGCCATCTCAACTGATGAAGTTTCACTATTTCATCAATTGATTTGCCATTCTTACCTATTACCCATTTCCTAAAAACTGCAATACTTACTCGGTGGTCCCAGAATATACGAGCAATGCTTCGAAGACACCTATGATCGAATACTAGTAACCTACGAATATCCTCTGCTCTTACCGGCCATGTTTCACTGCCATAAAGTAGGAGGGGACGAATTGCTGCGCAGTAAACCTATCCTTTGGTTGATGGACGGATATCGCGTCTACGCCATAAATGACGCAAGTTGGCGAAAGCCAGTCGAGCCTTCTGTATCTGTGCTGAGACTTTGTCAAACACTAGACTACAAGGGCTGATGAGCAACATTTTGCATTTCGAGGGGAGAATTGCATCCCGAACATGCTTGCATTATTGCTTAGTGGTCAGAAGACTCTGCATTCTATCAGCGTCTTCACCAAATAGAACTATGTCATCAGCATATTCTAAGTCAAAAAGTGAATCTCCTGGTAGAAGTTCAACCCCTGGAAATTTGGATGAGGAAAGTGTCATCTCTAAAAGCACGCCAACGACAAAGTTAAACAAGAATGGAAAGAGTGAACAGCCCTGACGAACACCACTTGAAGTAATCAATTCTGGTGACAGTTCACCATGAGCTCTAACTCGGCCAGTTGTGTTCGAGTAGAGAGCCTGTATAAGGTTAATGTACTTCTTTGGTACTCGTTTCAGTGACAAACACTGCCATATAACCTCACGATTGACAGAGTCAAATGCTGCCTTAATGTCGAGAAATACTACTATTGTGGGGCGTCTGAATGTGTGTGTATGTTTTAGGATCTGACGTAGTGTGGATATCTAGTCTATACAACCACGTCCAGGTCAGAAACCAGCCATGTTTTCTCTGGTCTGCCCTTCATGAACTTTAGTTAGGCGTTGAAGTATTATTGAAGCTAAATTAAATGAAGGACGCTGCTCGGATACTGTATGCGCGTTTCGGAGACGCAGCACACATCGATGGCGCGAGATTCTTAAATCCTAGCTAAGGAAGCCTGTTGTCCTATTTGGCAGTGTTCGAACGTTAAAAACTCCTACGTGTAGCTTAAAGCGTGATGTCAGGAGACCAGGAATAACGTTCGGCGCACTCGAATCGTTTGCCCTCGAGGTGCGAAGTGATAAAGGAACGGGAGAAGCATTAGTTGTGGAGATAAGAGAGCTGTTAAGTGTAGGAAGGATTCGGTCATGACCAACTTGGTCTCGCGTACTGTTACGGGTATGAGGGGAACACCTTGCTGCTGTCACATCCCTCTACAGTCAGCAATGCGATTTCGCCCTCAAACCTTGAGTTGCTGCCTTTAGTCTCACCGTTCTCCAATCGACCTGCCTGGCATGAAAGAACCTAAAAGAACACGTGTTCCAGCCAATATAGCTCGGTTGGATCATCACGACAGGCAAGCCCAACCACCACGTCAAGGTAGCAGCTACACAATAAACGATAACTCGATGCATCTGGTTATACGAAAACAACATACACTGGCTTCGCATTTTATGCTCATTATCAATTGCAGTATGGCAACGAATATCACCCGTCGATGCAGTTATCATTATACGGCTGGATTATTTTTGTCTACATAAGCTCCACGTATGTGAATGCAAACCCACTAATCGATAATAGACGCTATTTACTCTAGTGCGGCTCATCAATAATACATTAGTGAGATATCGAAGAAAGATCTTAGCGAGCGTGTCAACTGCAGAAACACCATATTAATATCAGTACAGGATGAAGTTTTCAATGTTACTGAACTGAATGGAAAATTCAGTAGACGTCCAACATCGAGATCAACAAACACGCTTTCATAAGGATTGGTCATGTGCCAATTAAACTGAGAACAATCAACTGAATATAGCTCATCACTATACATTACCTTCCTTGATTATGAGAAATTATTCAACAGCTTGAATAGAAGCACCCTATGAAATATTCGATAATATAGAGTACCTGAAAAGATTCGTACGTCAGACGGAACTCCTACAATAGGTTGAATCACAAGATTTTCCCAGGTAGAACAGCTCACAAACTCTTTCCAAATGAGAACAGGAGTGAAGTGATGGTACCCACCCCATTTTTTCCCTTTTGCTAGCTATTTGCTGAATTGTGGATACCTTTGCAGCTCGGGAAAAGCACAGAACTAGTGGACACCTTGGACAGAGCTGGATAACAGACTTTAAAGATGAGTTAACACTTATGCAGCAAACACAGGCAAAGACAGCTACTTTAGCAGTGGCTTTATTATAAATAGGTCTGAACATTCACAAGAGAAAAGGGAAACCCTAAAGTATGTATACAGCAAACACTACGTCACTTGATAGTGAAGCTGTGAAAGAAGTGGGAGATTTTATGTACTTGGGTAGCATCAGTAGTAAACAAGAAGGACCTGATAAGGATGTTAAGTCACGAATTGCTAAAGCAAGTGCAGCATTCATGAAGTCGAAGAATATTTGAAACTCAAGACTGTGATCCATGTCCAAAGGCAGAATTTTCAACACTAACATTAGAATAGTTCAACTGTACGAAGCTGAAACTTAAAAAACTATCACAACGGTATAAGCATTCATAAACAACTGTCCAAACAAGATACTCCAAGTCGATTGGCCGGGAACCATCAGCAATAACCGACTGTGATAGAAACCCAACCAGCTGCCAGATAAGGAGGATTTAGGTAAAGACGTTGGAGTTGGGTAGAACACACTTCATGGAAACCACTCAACATCACAAGGCGAGTCCTGAATAAGCATCCTTAAGCCTAAAGGAAGAGGCAGACCAAAGGACACATCGCAACAGAACTTTGACGCATACAACAAGACTATCGACGCCACTTAGCAACAACTGGAAGGGAGAGTCCATGATAGAGTTGGTGATCACTACCCAATAGGCTATACCTGAGGAAGGGTAGCAAGATTAAGTAAACAATTGAATGATACTTCTATTTCACAAAAACCAACTTTAAATTCAGATGAAATTCACATAGCACAAATATCAAACTAAACGCGTTAATGTGATTAAAGTAGTATCCATTGAAAACAACTTACCTAGACGTTTTGCAGTTACAATGATGATATCTCTTGCTCGAGTTGTTTTCATGACAGGATTGCCTTGTATATGCAACTCTTTAAGGTTTGACCATTTATCCAGTGATGTAGATAGATCATGAATAGATCGTATGGAATTATTCGATACATTCAAAGAGATTAAGGCATGAAGTTTACTTAAATCTTGTAGGGTGTCCAGTTTGTTACCTGACACATCCAAGCATATAAGACTATTCTATTAAGTTGGGATATTTTTTTACACGGAAATGGTTACACGATAAGAGATTAGGGGGAAAGTAGAAAGTCAAAATTAGAAACAGATTATTCAGCTGGGATCGTCTCAAAATTAAACAACGGTTATCTAACCAAGGAATTTTAACCGCTTAAAATACAAAGCTTACTAAGGAACTTGATAAAAAGTGAAATAGATGTTTTATCTTTTCTTCGAAATCTATAATGAGAATGAATCACAACAATCCAGATACACTTACACTTTACAAGCTTGAGAATTATGAGCAAATTATCTACAACCACATTCCTAATATCTTCATTTATCTTTCCTATTCAATCTGATATCTTTAGTGGATGTGGTCTTCTGTAGTGTTCAGGAATCTGGAAAACCAAATAAGTTAGTTGCTGTCTGTGATTTCCAATAAGTTCATGGTCCTCCTCATGGTCCTTTTACCATGAAACTTGAAACAACAGACGCTAGTCAGCTGTGTTACTCGTTTGCATCCAATTGTTTGAAGGGGAAGTTAAAGTAAAATAAATCTATGAGGTCTAATAACAACCTTTAAAATTACGAATATTTTTTTGAGGAACAGATCTCTTTTTTGTTAAGGTTAGTAAGGTAATATATAAAGGGGATTGAAAAATCTTGAAAACAGGTTTAAATGAATCTCCCTGACAAAATGTCACACCTCACCTTACCTCACGGATTTCCGTCTCCGGCGGTAAGGCCCTTTGAAGAACGGAGCTAACACGTCAAAAACCTTCCACAAAAAGGCCAAGCGCGACCGGCCTCAAGCAGTTGTCCCTTGGGCTCTGCGGTCACGCTCCCAGGTCGTCAAGACCAACACTAATCCAATTTCCTTTTCAGGTTCCTTAATAAATACCCTTCGACGGTGTGGGCAGCCGGGAAGTGACACCAGCCCTCATACACGTAACAGCACACGAGACCAAGTTGGTCACATTCAAATCCTTCTTACACCGCCTAATAACTCTCTTATCTCCACGACTAACCCTTCTCATGTCCTTTTATCACCTCGCACCGCTAGGACAAACGACCCGAGTAGGCGGAAAGTTATTCCTGGTCTCTTGAAACCACTTTCTAAACTACACGTAGGAGTTCTTAACGTCCGAACACTGTGCCAAATAGGACAACAGGCTTCCTTAGCCAAGACTTCAGAATCTCGCGCCGTCGACGTGTGCTACGTTTCCGAAACGCCCATACAATATCCGAGTAGCGTCAGTCATTTGACCTTACCATGTCAAAATAAAGAATTAACTCGATTCACACTTCGTGTATCTGGAAGCCTTGGTGCTGCTTCTCGTGGCTTTGCCGGTGTAGGTATAGCATTGATTTCTAGGGCAGAACTGAATTCCAGTAGACAGTCGTTTGTGCGCTGTCTGACTAAACGGAAAAGTAAAAACTCAGAAAAATAGGGACACTCGTCGTTGTCTCTTCGTCGTCTTTGTCTATTCTCCCACTGACTGCAGCCCAGATGATGTAAAAGATGAGATTTACAGAAAGCTTTCCGACCTTCTCCGAAAAGCTAGGCGCTATGATGTAGTAATAGTGGCCGGTGACATTAATGCTCAAGTAGGTAAACTAAGTGATAGGGAAAGACACCTAGGTGGATCTTATGGTGTCGTGGCTCAAAGAACAGATAATGGCAACCGTCTGTTGCAGCTATGCTCAGATAATCGCCTGTACCTTGCAAATACTAATTTTAAGCATAAGGAAAAACATCTTTTACCATGGAGACCCCCTAATTCGTCCCAACGTTGGACCCAAATAGATCACATCGCCATCAGCCACCGATGGAGGGGCTCGATAGAAGACTGTCGCTCATTCTGGAGCACATGCTTAGATTCAGATCATGCTCTAGTGCGAGCGCGTATTTGCTTGCGTCTTACTGGACGTAGGAAAGACGCTGCAAGGAAACCTCTTAGGGGCCTGCTTAATGATAGTCAAGCTAAGAGTATATTTCAGGAACAACTAGGAAAACAGTTAGGCAGCCATGTATGTGATGCCTACCATGAGGCAGCATGGAATGATATCCGAAAAGCTGTGGAAACAGCAGTGATATCTGCTAGTACGCTAACCCGTAAGGTTAGGGAACGACACTGGGTCTCAGCAGCATCTATCGCACTGATAGATGCTCGGAAACTCATTCCATCTGGGTCTGAACATAATGAAGAGCGGAGTCAGCTTAAACGCAAGCTGACAAGAAGTCTTCGCAATGATCGTGAACAGTGGTGGGTAGCGAAAGCAAGAGAGATAGAGAAGGCAGCGGCAATAGGTAATAGCAGACAATTGTTCAGACTCGTTAAGGAAACCGGTATTAGGAACCCGACTGTTAGCGAAACAATCTCAGAGAAAGATGGACATATTATTCATTCCCAATCCAGGAGATTGGATCGATGGGCAGAACACTTCAGGGATCAGTTCAACTGGCCTTCAGCCACACTTCGGTTTCCCACGATCCCCAGTCAACCTGAATGGCAAGTTAATGTAGGTCCTCCGTCTCTTAAAGAAGTTGAAAAAGCCATAGGAAATCTGAAACGAGGGAGAGCAGCAGGCCCTGACAGGTTTACTCCTGAGATTTTTAAGGATGGTGGTCCAGTATTAGCAATGAGATTAACCGAGGTCTTAGGTAGAATTTGGGAACTGGACGTAATCCCATCTGACTGGTCTCAATCACTGATTGTGCCAGTCTATAAGAAAGGACAGAGTCCTCTTGTGACAATCACAGAGAAATCAGTTTGATTAATATAGTGTCTAAAATATTAGCCTCACTAATACTTCGACGCCTAACTAAAGCTCGTGAAGTAAAGACTAGAGAAAATCAGGCTAGTTTTCGACCTGCACGTGGTTGTATAGACTAAATATTCACACTATGTCAGGTTCTAGAACACAGACACACGTTTAGACGCCCCACAATGGTAGTATTTCTCGACCTTAAGGCGGCATTCGACTCTTGATCGTAGGGTTCTATGGCAGTGTTTGTCACTGAGAGGAGTACCAGAGAAGTACATTAACCTTATTCAGGCTCTCTACTCGAACACAACCGGTAGAGTGAGAGCTTATGGCGAACTGTCATCAGAATTGATTACATCAAGTGGTGTTCGTCAGGGCTGTCCACTCTCTCCATTCTTGTTCAACTTTGTGGTCGACGTACTTTTAGAGATAACGCTTTCCTCATCTAAATTTCCAGGGATTGAACTTCTACCGGGAGGTTCACTTGTTGACTTAGAATATGCTGATGACATAATTTTATTTGGTGAAGACGCTGACAAAATGCAGAGTCTTCTGACCACTCTAAGCAACAATGCAAGCATGTTCGGAATCCGATTCTCTCCCTCGAAATGCAAAATGGTGCTTCAGGATTGGGTTACATCGACACCCGAACTAGTGATAGAGAGTGAAGTAGTTGAGTGTGTCGACCGCTTCACTTATCTTGGAAGTCTTATCAGCCCTTGTGGTCTGGTATGTGACGAAATCTCAGCACGGATACAGAAGGCTCGACTAGCTTTTGCCAACTTGCGTCATTTATGGCGTAGGCGAGATATCCGTCTATCAACCAAAGGACGGGTTTACTGTGCAGCAGTACGTCTCGTCCTACTTTATGGCAGTGAAACATGGCCGGTAAGAGCAGAGGATATTCGTAGGTTACTAGTATTCGATCATAGGTGTCTTCGAAACATCGCTCGTATATCATGGGACCATCGAGTAAGTAATGCAGTTGTTAGGAAACGGGTACTAGGTAAGGATGGCAAATCAATTGATGAAGTAGTGAAACTTCATCAGTTGAGATGGCTGAAACAAGTGTTACGTATGCCAAACCACCGACTGCCTCGACGTGCGATGTTCAATGGTATAGGAGTATGTTGGAAGAAAGCTAGGGGCGGCCAGACCAAAACATGACACAAGTTCATCAAGTCACTGACAAGTGGACTGAGCCACGTTGGTAGGTGTAGATTACCTGATTGGGGACTGCGAGATGATAGCAACCGATGATTAGAGACCTTGAATGATATAGCTCAAAATCGTTTGCAATGACGCAAGTGCATCAACTCTTTGTGTTCTCCCAAATTCTAATCTTCTGAATTCCTCATGTCCCTTGTTTTTCCTCTTTCCAAATTTTCTTCACTAGATTATACTCCTTGAATGATATCTTCAAACCCTAATCTTCCCGATCACTGCTTACACTCTTGCTACCTCTACCACTACGGGATTTGAATCGACAACTGCATCTCTGTGTTAAGGTGGTGTGGCAACTCGAACTGATGTACGTACGTACGAAGTTCTACGTTGTTACTGACTGACCCTGACAAAATAGATCATATTTTTTCTTCTTGCTGTTAATCTTTAATGTTGCTGTTAGGATTATCAGTCAGACAATTAGCTCGTCAGATTAACAAACAGATATTACATTATATCTAAAGCAATTTGTTGAACGATTATAACAAACAAAATAATAATAACAAGACCATTACTGCTACAGAATTCAGACTACGATCATCAAAGACTAGACTTTCGCCTGGATTCAAATTTTGGTTGTCAATGCGTAATTCTCGCAGTCTGATTAATCCTTCCAAGCCTTCAATTATACTGATACAATTTCGGCTGAGGAAACTTTATGAAAGGAGAAGAATGAAAATATTTTTCAACTTACAGCTTTTCTAACTTCTCTAATGAGTTCAAGTTTTCTATACGACTTATGCGATTATTTTGAAGATATAAATGTGTCAACTGGGATAAGTTTAAGTATTCTGGTATATATTTCAACTTATTGTCATATAGGTAGAGAACAGTTAGGCACTGACAAAGAGCGATTTCATGACCCTGGATGTGAAAGAAAGCGAGAAAACGAGTAATGAGGAAAACAACTAGGAGTAGAAACCAAAACCAATATAGTACACAAAGTATTATGATAATATTTTAGAGAATCTTACCAGTTCATCTAAATTTTTACCATTTAGGTATAAATGTGTAATTTGTTTTAAGCACTTTTCAGATGTCTCATAGAATTTACGTCTCTTCAACGCTGAAGTACTTTTGCACAATAATGCTACACTTGTCTTCACCATACAGTTATTCTTTATTATTGCTAAAAATTGTTTAGTTCATGCAGTGATTCTAAAATGAAATAAATAAACAGAATAAATATAGCACTACAAATCTTATTGAGCAGAAATGGTGAACTGATTTTCCCTTTGGATCTAAGTCTCAACTAAAGTAGACTGTTTTTATATGTGAAAAGGTGCAGTTTTTGTATTGGTCCTTCAAAAATCTGAAGGAACAAACCGTTGGTTATCATTATTAACAGTAACTGAAGTAAGAGTTGGAAATGAATCCTCATATTAATGACAGCTTACACAAGCATTTTTAGTGAGCTTTAGTTGAAGATTATAAATTTGTCAAAAAAGCATAGAGCTTCAAGAAACAAGCAACGTGACAAACGTATATTATAAAGGTAGAGAGCCACAGAATAATACTGCACTTCAAGTTGCTGAACATACCAGAACCAAAGAAAGATTAAATTACTAAGTGCATAAGTAAACGTGATTTCTAGGATGAGGCTGACTTAATAGTATGTAGAGACAACTGAACAGAACAACCCAAAGTACATGCATGTACTTTGGGTATAGCCATGGCTATACTGATTAGCTATATCCTTCATAATTCTAGTACTTAACTTTAGAATCCGTTCTAGCATATTTTCCTGTTTGAAATAAGGAATGCCTACATAAATTTCGTACAAAGTGTGGTGTGATGTACTTAGGATAAAATATCCTAAATATATCCTCAGTTGAGTTCCAGGTCTTACAAAACGCTCATATATGAGCAGGTTTTATAAGACCCGGAAGCTCTCGGTATCTGTTGCTTTTCAGTTATCTGTCCCGAGCTGCCAACTTTGGGGAAATTTTGGCCCATTTTGGGGAAGCCGCTATAGTAAATTTTGGGGAAATGAGACGCAAACACCAAAATTTCCCCAAAGTTGGCGGCTCGGGGTGGTTTACACACAAGCATACTTCTTGAAAACGTATTTATATAATGATCCATAGATATCTATGGATATAATATAATTTTATATGAGTCTTGAATAAGACTCAATGAAGTCTTAACTTTGTTATTTATTTTAACACATAGATAATGGTACAGGGAGGCACCAAAAACATATGCGCCACACAAATCTCATTTGATATGTGTGAGGGCTGTGATACTGCTCGGGTGCCCGAACCGAAGCAGGAGGGGACACCATAACTCTGGTGTCTCCTCATCTGCGGATAAATCTTTCGCCTTTTTAACCTTGTTAAGTTATCTTTACTTACTTGGCAAACGAACATGCAATAGACAAATATTAAAATTGAGTAGCAGAAGAATGACACCAAGACTATACCTCGACAGTGACTTTGAGAGACTAAAATTAGCCTTCAGAAACTTGTATCACTGGTCACTGGAGTCATACCACAACTAAAACTGGCGGGCGAGGATATGTCACATTCCCGCCATCCACATTGGCAACCAATCAGGCCTGTGCATTTATGGCGTGATGTGCATATTTCTAGAACTACTATAACCTAGTATGAATACACGGTTTCGTCATGCTATTCACTTCGCTTAGTTTACAGTTTTTCAGAGTTTGTATTGCTTAAAACGACTTGGTATTCCGTTTTTACTACATTTGAATTGTTTTAGTTCAGTGAACGGTATTAAATTATTCATAGTTTACCACCATGGAGGAATGTGGTGAGTTGATAGTATAGTAGGTTTCCATGTTGTGAATGCCAAATAGTTAATCCATTGTCTCGAAATTTGATTTTTACCGGGGCAATATTTCTTAAACTCATCTAGGAAACGAGTTGGTTTGTACTTTTCAGGTGTGCAAGTTCTGTTGGTCATGATTATCGTTAATAATGTAGGGGAATACTTCAGTCACGCCCACTACGTGTCGGTGTGATCGACTGGTCAAGTGCGCAGTCTAGCACTCAGGGGGGCGACAGTTCGAGTGCGTGCGCAGCCAGAGCTTTTGTTCACGCGACACTCATCCATACGATTTTCGCTTACTATAAGGTACTCAGATTTGAGGAACAATAAGTTTAGAATAATATTTTGGTACCACCATCTAAATCTCAATACATAGTGCCCGCAGTGTTGAGTCACCTAGACTGGTGGCCACATTGCAACATGATCGATAGCATTCGATCTGCACTAATAAGGACTAGACAAGCAAGACATTGATCACCACCCAGTGATCAATCAATTGTAACAGATATTCAGTATTTAACGTGGAGAAATACCTAACTATGAAGAAGGCGGGAATAAGGAATTAAGTGAATTGGATTTGATTGAATGGCATAGCTCGGCTTTGCACGCGTGGTCCTTGTTGAATGTTATCTTATATCTTTTATTCATATTAAATATATTGTTCTATCTCTAGCCTAAGCTTGTTCTACATCACGTGTTCGTGAATGTTACGATACGATGAGTTGATGCAGTTATGTCATGACAAATCTATAATTTTAGGATTAGGTCTATCTTTAGCGCAGTACTAATATCATATTAGACCATAATTCCTCATCGGTAAGACGACTTAAGGAATGCAACCTGTTACTATTAACCCTTATGTTCACTTTGACTTTCTCGAGCAATTTTTACTTATGTTAACCCAGTATTCTATTAGTCCTCTGATTAATGCTTACATGTATTATCGTAATGTTATACTGATTAGAATTCATAACATACTAGCTAATCAATATTAAAAACTGGTTATCGACATTAATTATTAGCTTTGATGGTTCATTAGCAAGCTTTAATAGCATTTACATGCTTCAGCGTGATATAAACTTGTTTAAACATCAAGCTCTAGCAAATATGACCTGTACATAACGTAAATATACATTGACTAGCAACGTAAGCAAGGACGAAGCAGTAGTCTGGATCTAATTCTTCATATTATTTCTTCATCTAAATTTTCAAT